ACCTTTAGCTTTTAGCTTACGTTTTGTGCAACAGGCATTCACCCTTGCATTTTCGTAGGAAATGCAAATTCTCTAGTTATGTTTGTGGTTGTAATGTGACAAAATATGGAAAAGTTCAAGGGGTATGAATACTTTTGCAAACCACTGTATCACATGGATGGTTCTGTTGGGGAAGTGGTTGGTTCTGTTGGGGTTGGCAGGAAGTTAATCTGGGAAGGTGGGTGGTTCCTTTGGGGGGGGTCAGGTCTTGGATCATTGTTGTGAGAACACTGCATGATTCAATGTTCCTGTTTGTGTCCAGATGGAGAGACCAGTCCTGTGGGGACTAGAGGACCAGAAGAAAGTGATGAACTGGACTATCTTCAGTCTAAAACCTCCTGACAAGTTCCTGTGATCCACAGAAACAACAGGAAGTCAGAACGTGTTCTGACAGGATGAAACTCTGAAGCTGTAGAAAATATTTAACTGGAAATAATTCTTTATAAAACACCTGCAGTCATCTGAACCAATCAGATTCAGTCTGGTTGTAAGAACCAATCAGATTCAGTCTGATGTAAGAACCAATCAGATTCAGTCTGGTTGTAAGAACCAATCAGATTCAGTCTGATGTAAGAACCAATCAGATTCACCCTGGTTGTAAGGACATTTTCCAGCTCTCGGTGCAGGAGACAATCTGGGTGAAAACAATTGAAATGTTGACGGGTCAGAATTGTAAGTTCTGGTTCTGCTGATGAACATATTGAACCTTTTCTTCTGGACTTCATTAAACCTGTTGGACCAAAGATGTTCACATCTGACCAAAAGGAGCTGAGGACTGTGATTGGTTACTGCTGTCTGTAGCTCCACCCTGCACCTGGTTACCATGTTGAGGAGGAAGTGATGTGAACTAAAGAGTTGTAGATTGAATGTCCCGCCTTCTCCTTTGTAGACATTTAGGCTCCGCCTACTCACTCTCAGTCATGGTAACTTTTTAAAGTGCAAAATAAGTTGTGGGAACAGATCTGCTAACCCACTTATCCTCTAACAGCTGAACAAGCTTCTCATGTCGGGGATTAGCTACATTAGCTTAACTTTGCAAACTGTTAACAGACCAATTAGCATCCGCTAAATTGGCTGGCACTAATTTTAAGTCCACTGAACAATTCATGAATGTAAAACCTTTATGTCATTTATCCCAACTTGAATAAAATGTATCCTRTCTCACAGACAATGCTGGATGTGCAGCATGTGTGTAGCATTTAGCATCTTTAGCAGCTAAACCTCCAACTAAGAGTGTCACAAAGAAATAAAATAATATTTATCAATATTTAAAGATGAATATAAAAACTGACTATGAATAAAATACAGTAGATAAAGTAGTTGCTGGTTGTTTGACTAACTTCAAACTGTATTCATAAAAACAAACATGAGCAAAGAAATGCTTTTATTCTGAAAGGGTTAAGCTGGAAATATAAAGTTGGACAGGACTGTAACTCTTGTTTGGATTGGCTGCTTTGCCACAAATGATCCCGCCCACCTTCAAATWAAACCAATAGAAAACTAAGAGCAGTTTCTTTTCAGTTGCAGCTGTCTTAGTTAGCGGTTAGTGGTTAGCATTAGCAGAGCTGTCATAGCAGTTAGTGGTTAGCATTAGCAGAGCTGTCTTAGCAGTTAGTAGTTAGCATTGCAGCTTTAATGCAGGAGAGGCTGAGAAGAAAAATGAAAGACAAACACATAATAATATTTATATACATATATACACCACAAAGTACAGTACATGAATGAAAGTATATGAAGGTACATATTACTGATGCCACTGTAGGTGAATTGTCCAAGTGACTGATGACATCATGATGTGTTACACACAACACACACAAAACACACACAAAACACACACAACACACACAAAACACACACAAAACACACACA